TATATATATATATAGTCATTTAAATGCATTGACTTGATTTATTAAGCTAAAAGACTCTTATGTTTTTGCTTTATTCCCTTTTAAGTCAAGGTGAGGGTTTTGTACCATTCCTTGAGATTTGGGGGGAGGGTGGGAGTGGGGAGAGGCACTGACCTCCAGGGCTCATCAACAGCCTGAATTAGGTTTTGTTCCCCATTACCTTGATCGTTGCTTTCAGGTATAGGCTGAGAAACAGGACTGATTTTGTTTAAGGTTCTTTAGGCTATGGTTATGCTTTTACCCTTCAAGAACTGCTTTACGGGTAGTCCTCACTTAATGACCATTCAGTGACTGTTCAAAGTTACAACGGTGCTGAATGAAGGGACTTACAATTGGTCCTCAAAGTTCTGGCTGTCACAGTGCCCCCACAGTCACGTGAATAAAATTAAGGCCTGCCCGCATTTACGATCACCCTCCATGTCGCTGCTGCCCCCCATCTCCAGCTGACCTTCGTTGTCATCTTCACCTGCCTCCCCTCCACTGGGTTCACCATTCCAGCCACATGCGAGGGAGGCACCGTGGAAATGTCCTGTAGGTCGGCAGGTGAGAGCTGCAGGCGGGTGTGTGCTGTGCTGTGTGCTACTACCAGTTGGGTCCTTCTGTTGTGTGCCAGCTGGGGCTTACTTTCAGAAAAGGAGGCCCCAGCCTGTGTGTGAAAGGAGCCCCCAGCCAGTGTGCAAAAGAAGGATGGTGTGAAAAAAGGCCCCAGCTGCACCAGTGCAAAAGAAGACCCCAGCCAGTAGTGGCATGCGGTGCGGCAGGGGCAGCTGGCAGTGGTGGGTAGGTGGGCAGCCAAAGGGCAGAGATGGGTGGAAGATAGGTGGATGGGAGGGAGTTGAAGTGGAGTCAGCCCCTTACCTTCTTTCAAGAACGGGCTTGCATCTGGGTGGGTCCTTGCTTAACGACCATGTGGGATTCACTCAATGACAGCAACTGGCATTGCCAGAACTGTCATCGCTAAACAGAGCGGTCATGTGACATTTCACCTAATGACTGCCTCACTTAGCCGGTCCCAATTAGGTTTGTTAAGTGAGGACTACCTGTATAGTGACACAGATCATTGACTCATATAATGCAGAACTGCCTATTTGTGCTGGCATCAACCACACAAATGCGGATTAATTAATTCCTAAAATCCTTTTATTGTTCAGATATCAGTGGAAAAATACTCATTTCCTTATCACCTGATTTTCAGAAGAATTTTATTGTTGTACATCATCATTCCATGTAGCTGTTTGGATAACAGACAGCATTACCTGATGACTTATTTCTACTGTTCCCTATAACTTGCAAGTTCAACTAAATGGGGTCACACTGAGTTGGAAGCAGCTGAACACTGGATGACAACTGAACAACAATAACAACAAAGCAATAATAAACTCATCTAACCCCACCCATAGAGTAAATCTTTTAAAAATCACTTATACTTGCAAGCGCTTGCAACATGTTTAGCTAGTAAATTTCATTTATTAATTGCACATTCTGTTAAAAAGTACTGTTATTAACCATTGGTAGTTTTTTTTACTTATTGTCAATCAGCATTAGAAGCTTGGTTGCTAGCTTGGGAAGTGTTGCAATGACCTCTTGTGCTCATCATTTTAACTCTAAGCAGCTACCTAAAAACAGCACAAGGATAAGACTGAAAGTCTACATAGTCAGGTCATTTTCTTTCAAGAGGAACAGATGCAAGCTCTTAAGCAAAGCATGAAGGCGTAAGATATCTCTATCTGACTGTACACAGGCTTTTTAGCTTTCACGGCTATTGGAATGTATTATTGTTGTTACTTTGAAGTGGTCTTGTGTGATGCTAAAATTATTCTGTTTAAAATATACTGCAGGTGTGAGAGGCCAAGACAGTAGCCCCAGTTTTCCTCAAATATTTGCTGCCTCTGACTTATTCATATATAAGAAAGAGGAGTCAGAACGGTGTAGTAGCCAAGGTGTTGGACTAGCACTAGAAAGACCCAGGTTGAGTCTCTCTCAGCCACAGAAGTTCCTTGGGGGACTTTAGGCCAGTCACTCTCAGCTCGACTATCGCACAGGTTGTTGGAAGAAAGGGAAGAAAAGGGGGAGCAGAGGTTATACTGACTTGAGCTCCTGAATGGAAGGTGGGATATAAATCGAACAAAAATGAACCTGGAAGAAATGTGTATTCAATATACATCAAGAGCTGTATGCCACAATCGTTAAATCTCTGTTTATCTTTGTGCTTGTGTGGATCCTCATAAAACGGTTGGAAATACAGAGCCATACAGGAATTGGTTGAGCTGGGAGTTGTACTTATATCAATGCTCCCAGGTCTACTTTGGCTTATTATTGGTGAATCAGGACAACGTGTAAATTACCGGTGCTACTAGACCAGTGTTTCTCAGCCTTGGCAACTTGAAGATGTGTGGACTTCAAGTCCCAGAATTCTGGGAATTGAAATCCACACGTCTTCAAGTTGCCATGGTTGAGATACACTGTACTAGACTATACACTTTCATATGCTGCGAAAGGGAATCTGAAAGTAAAAATAGATAGCTTTCCACATCTGGCTGTAAATTCTGAGAACTACAGCTCACCTGAAAGGCTATAGATAACATGAAAATTATGTCAGATTACTATTTAATAAATGTAGCATCTATTCTCAGCTAACAGTCAAAATAAACTTCTTTCCCTCAACTACAAGCTCACTATGTATTGCTTCTATGTTGGCTATACATAAAAATAATAAATTATTGGCTGGGCTCTATTACGGTGCTCTGTCATAATGTAGTTTTAGCTAGGGTTCAGACCCTTGTCTGAAATCCAGAGAGCAGCTGACAATGAGTGTAGTATGTGAATCCTGGTTCAGACAGACCAGTGATTGACATGACGTAAAAAGCTTCCTGTGTTCCAGATGATAAAGGGTTGCAAGAGATCTTGGTGGTCTTCTAGTCCAACCGCCTGCCCAGGGCAGGAATCCTCAGACCATCCCAGACAAATGGATGTCTAACCTTTGAAAAACCCCTGTGATGGAGCACCTACAACTCCAGGAAGCAAGCAGTTCTACCGCTTTGCTTAATAGCTCTCACAGTCAGAGCTTGAATCTCTCTTTGTAAAGCTCCCACCTACTGGTTCTTGTCCTGCCCTCAGGCACTACAGATCTTATTTCCTGTGACAGC